TCTAGGGAACCCGTCATCGGAATCCGTCTACAGAACCCATAATCGGGATCCGTCTACGGAACCCGTCATCGCGATCCGTCTATGGAATCCGTCATCGGATTTCCATCGCGGTCCACTTCCACTTTATTTTAGCTTTTAGTAAACACATTCACTAACCTGCAAAGAGATCCGGCTTCAAACTCCCCGCCGGGATCCAGCTTCGGATGAGGCTTTGGACTCCCTACCGGGATCCGGCTTTGGACTGGTGCACTTTCTTAAAAAACATAATTACATTACATTACATTAATTCACATTTACTTACCTGAAAACATGTTTATTCTGTCCTCAAAACAATCTGCTCCAAACGCTGGATTGCGTGGGTGGGATTATCGGCACTGTGAACCATCGTCTGCCCCACCTCCACGTCCTCGCTCGGAGTGAAAACGATCCTAAAGTCATACCAAAAAGAAAAACAAGCAGAATATTCGTTAATTGCATACTAACCTGTCGGGAAATCAACATAAACACGAATTTATAGTTTTCGTCAAGAAAACAGCAAAATTTATGAACCACTTTTCGTACGCACTTGAAACATAGAGGTAACTATAAGATACAGAGAACAGACGTTCAAGCTCGGTCAGAAACTTGTGTAAAATAAGTGGGAACGTCGCCGTTCCGTGGTGTTAGCATCTCCTGATTTTCTCTATAAATTTTCCACTTTCGACCAATTTGGCGCTAGTATCGATAAATTTTCTGTTGAAAATTGCCACTTGGCGCTACTAGCACTTAGTGTCTAGTGTAATTTGTGCAACGCCAGCGCCATCATGTTGTCAAAGTGGGTTTTTAAGTGGGGAAGTCGCCGTTAGTGGCGCTTAAGTCGAATAGGAATCTTTACACAAGTTTTTAGCGAAATTTTGTTCGAGCCTCCATGTCTGTTCTCTGTGGCGCTAGCGTCTCCTGATTTCGTCTATAAATTTTCCACTTTCGGACAATTTATCGCTAGTATCGATAAATTATCTGTTTAAAATAACCACCTGGCGCTACCAGCACTTAGTGTCTAGGGTAAGTTGTGCAACGCCTACGCCATCAGGTTGTCAAAGAGGGTTTTAAAGTGGGGAAGTCACCGTTAGTGGCGCTTACGTCGAATAGGAATCTTTACACAAGTTTTTACAGAAATTTAGTTCGAGCTTCAACGTCTGTTCTCTGTGTCAAAGTGTTGGTAGCGCCAAGTGACAATTTTCAACAGATAATTTATCGATACTAGCGCGAAATTGGTCGAAAGTGATAAATTTATAGAGGAAATCAGAAGATGCTAGCGCCACGTAACAGCGACGTTTCCACTTAACTTTACACAAGTTTCTGACCGAACTTGGACGTCTGTTCTCTGTGTAAAAACGTCATTATCATTCAATGACGTTTATATAAGGTCCGGGCCAACAGGCAGCTTGCCGGTGTTAGTAGTAAAAAGATTGTATACATTGGCGTCTTGCAGTGAAACTTTTCCAAGCTTTCGCCTCCTACATTTCGAAGTGAGAACTACTAGAAGGAGGATAGTTTCCAAATTCTCCAAGTAAAACAGACGATTTTTGGGGCAAATCGGTCCATAAAGAAAAACTAATAATTTCCCATGGAAACTTTTGCTTGAATCGTGTAAGAAAACGTGTTTGAAAACTAATTGTTAATATTTCGGTATGGATCGGAGGGGTTTTCATGGAAAATTATGCATAACAAGTTTGCACCCACAGCGAGAGGTTACCTCCTGCGCAGCTGCATTTTTCGGAAAATGGTGAATATGTGCGATTTCCACTAAGATGAAAGTGGAAATAAAGTTAATTTACTTAGGAAAGGTTGTATCATGCTGGTGGTAATGGAGAATTGGTTGTATAGGACGCCAATATTCAATAAATGTTCATTTTGGCCTTTTTTAAGCAAACATATTGATACTTACAATTTTCGACGGAAAACGCACCGGAACTTGATTTACTCAACACGCACCATACTATAAAATGGTGCTAGATGGTTTTCAAAGTGATAACAAGATGACAAATCATCTTTATTTTGAGTAATTGAGCAATTTACTTCTGTTTACCACAGGCCAGTGACAAGGCCTATACCAACAGCAGCGTTTGACAGTAGGCAGCATGTCCCGGGCCCAAATCATTTATTTTGCTGTGCTGGGCCCGCTGTCACTGTATAACATGTTGCCTACGCGCCTGCCACTGGGTTGGTTTACCATCATATTTTCGATGCAGCATTGATGGAGCCGTGAAATGAAATGAATATATCTTATGAAAGTTCACCTGGAAAAGTCAAAGATGCACATCAGTCTGATCGTAAAAACGGTTTCTTCTTCAATTCGAATGTTATATTGAAAGGATTTCACGTAGGCTTGATGAAAATTATGATTTAATGCTAATTTTCACGAATTTTATATGCAGTCTGTCAACATTATCATCATCATGCAGTGGCGACATCTGCGTTGAGCTTTTGCGGCAATCTTCCAATTGATACTCACAATTTTCGACGGAAAACGCAACGGAACTTGATTTACTCAACACGCACCATACTATAAAATGGTGCTAGATGGTCTTCAAAGTGATAACAAGATGACAAATCATCTTTATTTTGAGTAATTGAGCAATTTACTTCTGTTTACCATCATATTTACGATGCAGCATTGATGGAGCCGTGAAATGAAATGAATATATCTTATGAAAGTTCACCTGGAAAAGTCAAAGATGCACATAAGTCTGATCGTAAAAACATTTTCTTCTTCAATTCGAATGTTATATTGGAAGGATTTCACGTAGGCTTGATGAAAATTATGATTTAATGCTAATTTTCACGAATTTTATATGCAGTCTGTCAACATTATCATCATCATGCAGTGGCGACATCTGCGTTGAGCTTTTGCGGCAATCTTCCAATTGCTGAGCACTCAAATGTCGACGTCACTCTACCATAACCTTTCATACTGAGAACAGTGAGATTTACGTCACTGCCAACAGCTGTTTCGTGTTAAAAGATAAACATTGCAATGAAATTCGAACACCACTAAACATTTGCACATTTCACTAAAACCAATAAGCCTGTTGGCCCGGACCGAGATGGGAAATGGCAGGTGGGCAGGAACTCACGGTCTCCCAGTGTTGGTGAGTTCTTTGCCGTTAATATTCACGAAAAGTTCACTTTTTTGCCATACAGAAATTCAAACCAAAAAATTTTATCTGCGGATTTGGACAATTTTTGACCTGTTTCATACTTCCACTCACTTGCTATAAAAAAATGTTTTTCGGAATTATGTAATCATGAAATATTATAATGCTAATTAGTACTTGTATGTAACAAGAAGAGGTCATGAAGTATGTGTTTGACACATAAAATCTGTCAATATTGCTTTCAGTGCGTCACAATCAGCGATTTTACGACTCGTGAGCGCTCACTCTGAGTGAACGCTCACGAATCATAAGATCGCTGATTGTGACGCGCTCAAAGCGAAATTGGCAGGTTTTATGAGTCAAACACATACTTTACACCCTCTTCCTGTTACTTACAAGTGCAACACAGGATTATATAACATCGAATGATTGCATAATTCCGAAAAATATTTTTTTATAGCAAGTGAGTGGAAGCAACCCTGCCGGAAGGTGTAAGGTGCTGGTAACAAATGCCGTGTCAAACTGATTTCCTACGCAATTAATCAATCTTTGATGTGAATTTCGCTAATAAACACGACGAGCATTTCTTATAGCAAACTTGCCATAACAAAATGGGCATGGTTCATTTTAGTAAACAAATTAACACTTCTTCCGACTGTGTCACCTCTCTTACTCGCCTAGGGCCCGGACCTTGTATAAATGACATTGCTTACACGGTTAGAAAAAAGTACCCAAAATTAAGTTCTTTTCACTCATCTCGGCACTATAGTGCAGGAACCCAAAAGTAGGTAAAGCGGGTCAAAGTAATTTTCATTTACTTGTGTGCAGTTCGTATGTAATTTTCCACACGGTAAGAAAAAAGTACCCAACGGCCAGTTCACTTTTACCTACTTTTGACTAGTTTGTCTCCTTTTCTCCTTCTAATGTTGTCAAAAACGGAGGAGCAAAACCACCCAACAGGGGTACTAAAGTGTGGGAACTCAACGTTGAGTATAATCATATTTACCTACTGTTGGGTACAAATAACTTACTTTTGGTTAAAAAGCCAGTGGAAAATTCCATACGAACTGCACACAAGTAAATGCAAATTACTTTGACCCGCTTTACCTACTTTTGGGTTCCTGCACTATAGTGCCGAGATGAGTGAAAAGAACTTAATTTTGGGTACTTTTTTCTAACCGTGCACTGGCTTTTTAACCAAAAGTAAGTTATTTGTACCCAACAGTAGGTAAATATGATTATACTCAACGTTGAGTTCCCACACTTTAGTACCCCTGTTGGGTGGTTTTGCTCCTCCGTTTTTGACAACATTAGAAGGAGAAAAGGAGACAAACTAGTCATAAGTAGGTAAAAGTGAACTGGCCGTTGGGTATTTTTTTCTTACCGTGTACCATTTTCACCCACTCGCCATCTGTGAGTCAATCGTCACTTTGATTCTTCAATTGACATCGGGATGGAAGAAGGTTAAAAATAAGTTGAATGCGTTTTATCCTCCTGTCAAAGCAAGCCTAAACAATGTAAACAGTGCACAGGGTGGCCAGACCTACCGATTTATCGGTAGTCCTACCGATTTTCGGGGTGCCTACCGATTCACAGACGAAAGGTTCAAAACTACCGATTTTTCACTTTTCCTACCGAGAATCACAGATTTTTAGATTATAAATAGAAAAATTGATTTCGACACGTTTAAAGCAGAAGATCTGAAGGACAGTGTATTGTTCTGGAGCACAGAGTCATCCCCCCCCGCTCACAAAAGTTTCAAGTATCGGGAAAGCCTTATTAAGGCGACCTACCGATAACTACCGATAAAAGTTTTGAGAAGTTACCGATAATGAAAAAAATAATCTGGCCACTCTGACAGTGCATTCAGTCGCAATCGTCGCAATATTTTGTAAATTTAGTAATCAATTGAAGAAGATAAGTGAACGATATCTATTGTTACGTTATTGTGACATCATTTGTTTAGTGCGCATTATTCGAAGAAGTGTGTCCCCGAAGAATGGTTAATTTTACTCCTGTAGAAGTATCTGTAAACGAATGTGTAGACTTGAGCAAAGTGCCATTGAGTGCATTGAATCACCGATCCTATCAATTGCTTTCGGCGTTGCTAAATAAAACCAAAATATTCAAATCGGAAGATGGTTATTATCGTGATTGGCGTGGTCTATTTCAAGTGCTTAAATTGGAACACTACCATAAAGCAGAACTGGACAAGCATATCAATCCAACTAAACGGGTATTAGATCTTTGGCAAGAGTCTCTGCGTGGAGCCAACCTAAAAGAACTGCAACATGTTCTTGGACAAATTGATCGATGGGACATCCTTGATGATAGCAATAAACTGCTTTGTAAGTCTATTCTATTTATTTGTCCAATTTTATTCACTTGTCGTCAAACTGCAATTTATAGGTGAAGATGCTGAAAAGTTCATGGCAAATCAATCGAATGAAGTCAATATAACCGATGCAGCAGATAACAGCACCAGCTTGGTATCGGATGAGGATATTATTACTAAGGATGACACTCGCCATAAGAAACAATCGTACGATGCATTCATCCTGTTTGCCGATGCTGATATCGAATTTGCGACCAAGATTATGGAGCGCATGGAGGAGAGAAAATTGAAGGTTTGTTAATATTATTGAATGAGACAAATATGTCGATGTATAAGAAACAATAGTTTATGGCTATGTGTATAGACTGAATAACAACAATACGAACACTGTAAAAAAAACTTAATATGCAGCAAGGTAATTCATGTTGGCGTATGATTGGCGTGATTGCAAAAATCAAATAAAATATTACATCCTTATAATTTACCCCAAGTTCTGCACTAACACTTGCGCTTTTCACAAACGTCAGAGAAGTCTATTGTATTGTGTAGTTTCAATTTCATTTTATGGTAGGCAAAACAGATTTTATTTACAATATATACTGATCATAACCTTTAAAGTCAAAACTAACTGCAACTGCACAAGCAGTCATTTTTCGCATTACACTTACAAATTTCACAAGTCACAATATTTAGGTTACAACAACTACTTGTTTACTGCGGAGAAGCAAACAACGCCTGAGATTTACAGATTTATAAAGCTCGAATATCTGGAGATTTTAGCTCTGGAAGTGTGATATGAAAAAGGACTCGCTACAAGGAAACACGTCTATTCAGAACAAAATAACGTAATGCAAAAATCCAGGTTTAGGATACCCCCCCCCCCTATTTAGCTTTAATAACGCTTAACAAGAATCCCCCGTAAAATTACGTAACGTAACTAATTCACTTGCCATACCCCTTCTGTTTGTTTCAAGATTGAATAAAAAATCTTAGTTAATGGTTTGAAAAGTTTTTATTATATTATAGATACAAGGGTTGCGTAGATTTATTTATTTAGCCGCATTTTTTTTTGCGTTAGATTTTTTTTTTATTTAGGTTAATCTGTTACGTATCATTTCCCAATAACCCTCCCTTGTATGTCAATAAGGAACCCTAACTCAACCCTAACAAGCTTTATGCACGAAGCCTTAAGGCTGGCGCACAATGCATGGGTTTTTTGACAGATAACCAGAAAACTTATCCATTGTGCGCCGGCCTTTACTCTGATCGATTCTCTGATGGCGTCCCTGTTTGGATGATCAGTAAAATGTTTGCTTAGAGTCGTGTTTATTAAATCTGATGTCGACATCAAAGCAGCCGGTCATTCTTGATCGAGATTTAATCCAACCGGTATTGGAGCTTACCACCATTAGTGACTACCGTGCTTATGAATCTACAGGGAATAATAGGATTTTCCCGTTTGGCTATTTAGTTAGCAGCCAGCCCGGTTCGATACGTAAATCCATTCTAGGAAATTCAATGCACTCACCCTTAGGAGAGTCTCATCCGGGCAACATAACATTGAGCATGTGGTCTTTCGTGTGGAGTGGCGCTTAAGCCACATTTTTTGGTGACTGACAACCCGTTCTAGTTATAAAATATTGCTGAAAAATTCAACATACAGCCAACTGCGAACTATTCGACCCAACGGGATTTTCTCCATAGATTTTCGTATTGCATTCAAATTGATTAATGGCTACAATATCCAAATAAAGCAGCAAACAAACAAAAATGCGAAGAAATTCAAAACTTTCATTTTTTTTCAGCTTTGCGTAAAGGATCGAGATCTTCTGGCTGGCATTAATTTTGAACACGATGCCATTATCAAGCTGATTTCCGAACGATGCCGTAGATTGGTCGTTGTCATTTCAAAAGAGTTTCTGAAAAGTCCATTGCACAATTTTTTCGTCATGTTCGCTCAAGCTTTGCAAATTGAACAAAAGAAGCGAAAGATCATACCGTGCGTCTACGAACGACTGGAACTTCCAGCAAATTTGAAATTTTACTTCATTCTGGACTACAAGCGATCCAATAAATTATATAATTTCTGGGACAAGCTGGAAGATGCAATCAAAGCCCGAACAGATTCTCCAGTGATCGAAAATATGTATGATGTTCTATCAACCTTTTGCATTTTCAAATAGTGCTTAATTTATATTTCTTCTATGTGCAGAAACCAAACGAAAGAAGCAGAAGTGGACAACATTCCAAATATTAAAGTTGATGACATTGAAGAGATATCGCTAGAAGAAACTGATCCGCTTCAAGCTAAAAAAGTACCTAACATAGTCGAGGCAGATACAGCATCTTGCAAGTCGGATTTTGAGCAACCAATTAAAAAATCATTATCATCGTGGGATATAAGCCATGCGTTCAACCGTGTACTGACTAATAAATGCAAGAATTCGTCGTCGAGTACGTCAGAACTCAGATTGAGAATGGATTCTACCGATCAGGAGCTTAAAAAAGCAAAATGGTATACTAAGCTTGGTCTTTCATCTAGCAAATCTAGCTTAGATGGAACTGGAGAAAGGTCGGAGAAGAAAAAGTCCAAATGGTACAAATCTAGTAAAAAGATGGCAACAGCTATGTGATTTTTTAATTTTTGTGCCTTATTTTCAACCTGGTTGAAAAATATATATACTAATTCATAAGTTGTTGTACATACAAGAAATATTAATATATTTTTAAAAATTTCGTGATATCCTTGGTGGTCTAATGGATTTTGTGTAACTGATATCAATAAATATTGTATTTCGGAACTTTCGAGTACTGCAAATCCAAATATATCACACTCCAAAGAATGGCATCTTTCGGTTTTACGTGTCTTTTTTTATTGCTTTAGTTATATACACCTTCGAACCGTATTTTTTCTACAAAAAAAGATTACTTGTACGGAAAGCAAGCTTGCAAATGCTCATTACAGCTAAATTGCTATTTTCCGGATTTATGAAGCTATGAAATATTTTAATGATATAATTAAGGATTAGGATTAAGGAAGATGCAAGAAAAGCAGGTAAAGTGTGTGTATGACACATAAAACCTGTCAATTTAGCTTTCAGAGGGTCACAATAGCGATTAGCTGTAACGATGAGCAACGTGATGAGCGAGCAATCAGCGTTCATTCAATCGCTAGCTGTGACCTACTGAAAGCAAAATTAACAAATTTTATATGTCATACACAAACTTTACCACCTATTCTTGCTTCTTACAAATAAAAATTAGGTACCACTATAGCCTAACCTTTGCAAGCCTGATGGAAAGTAAGGTTAGAACGTGAACGAGAATATGAGTGATAGATATATGCAATTGCTTACCGGTGTGCTCTTGAAATTGCGATGTGTGATTGAAAAATGTACTATACAAGCATTGCTTGTCACAAAATCTTAGACCCCCCCCTCCCCCTTAGAGCGTGACATAATATATGCATCAACCCTAAATTGGTACTTGACCAGTACGGCATGACAGGTCCTGGAATTTGGATCAGCCGGTTTCAGTTGTTGAAAACGGATTTTATCGAACATTATTCCTAATCTTGTTTGGCAGCCACCTTCAATCTTATCGATTCCTCTTGTTCGTTGCGCACATCTTCGTCTTTTCCCAGTCGGATCACTACAAAGAACCATTTTCAGTGGGTCGTTATCCGATATTATTACGATGTACCCAGCCCACCGTAGTCGCCAATCTTTGCATTCGATCTACATTTCTTAACTTACAAACTTTCTGCAATGATACTTATAGCGAATTCGTTTATTATCGGGGTTAACACCAGTTCCAACCCAGTGCGAAACCGAACTTTTTGTCAGTCTGAACCTCAACCTGAGCTAGGTTTTAAAGACAAACGAGCAAACTGACGTTTGTCAGAAAACAAGCAGACCCAATCTTGATACCCGATCCAGGTTGGAACTGAATAATAAACGAATTCGCTATTAATGATTCACTTCTTTTCTACAGTGATTCAACAATTTCCGAGCTAAATCCAATCTTTTCAAAATTGGTTTAAAATTTTTAGAAGTGAGACCAAATCAGTAACGATTCAGGAAATTCCTAACTGAGGTGACACTTTTCAAAGCAGATTCAAAACTGAGTCTGAACTTTTTTTGAAGTGAGTTCAAACTTTCAAATAAGTAATCAATATTTTTTAACTGAGTCTAAACTTTTTTCAAATATATTATATTACCAATATGTTCCACTCTTTCGTTTAGCTGGCGAACCAATTTTTTAGCGATGAAAGCACCTCTGTGGCCAAAAAGGCTACCAATGTATTTGTTTATCGTCACGAGGGGTAAACCAACTGAAAATTTGTTTAATATTTCAAATAAATGTATTTCAGCATATTATTTTATTTGATGACAACAGTGACATGTCAGACAAATTTTAAAGTAATCAACACAATGTAATTATTGAAAATAATGTGACTCTTATTTTTGTAATAAGTTCTATATTCGCACCCCTCGATTGTAATTGAATGATTGTTGCTGACCTTTTTCAACGCTAGATGGTGCGTGAAGCAATATTTTGTGGGTCGCCATTGCCATGTTTGGAAAAGGCATGAATGGATCATATTGTTAATATGATATATTTGCTTTTTTGTTATGTTATTCAATCCTGTTTAAAGTTGTCAAAACTTTCCTGAAGTGATTCAACATATTCCAAATCCAATCTTTAAAGAATTGGTTTCGCATTTTTTGAAGTGAGGCAACATTAGCTGATTAATCCTTTTCCTAATTGATTCAACTTTTTCCGAACTGAAACCAAACTAGTCAGAACGGGTTTGATATTTCCCTAAGTGAGCTCCAGATTTTTGTTAACTGCTTTGGCTTTTGGCAAGGACACAATCTTGCTTAGTGAAAGTGTAGAAAGTTTTCCGAAGTGAACCGACAATTTTTTTAGCATAAATTTTCCAAATGGTGTCCAACCTTTTCTGAAGTGGTTCAAAACCTTCCTTAGGGAGTCCAAACTTGGACCTTCGTGTGTTCATACCTGATGGTAGATTTTTTTTTAAAGCAAGCACAATTGTTGAGAATAATGGGTTTACATCCACAAAAGTACGTATTTTTATAGAAATTTGGGTTTCTTGATCAGCCAAGTTGGAAAAGTGTAGCCTTGAAATTTCCACTTTACAATGAACTATGTTTGTATTCTTTGCATCACAGCCGGCGTTTCTTATCGGTCGAGCATGAAGCAATTGATTCCCTAAGCTCATATGGATTTCGCTTCTGACAAAATAATGAAAATTTACTTTTTTAGGGAAAATATTCTTGTGGCCTTAAAGATTAGAGATTCTCTGCCTGAACGTCAAGCAGTACAGTTGTTCGAAAGTTTCTAGTTTGTTCCAAACATTCGCAGTTTAATCATAGAGGGAACTCTAAGACAAGTAGGTCCCGAAGAAACGTGCCTAAATTGTTTGGCTCAGCTCTGGTACTATCTTCAGTCCCAAGCTAATCGATTTACCCCTTGAAACATAGGAAAATCCACTAACCCCTCATTTTATCTGTCAAACTTTCATAGCGAATCAAAACAAACATTGTGTAGTACTAGATTTTCGACTAGAATGGGGTACGTTAATCGATTTGCTTGGGACCAATAGGCTAGTCAAGTAGTGAGCCAATTTAAAATCGTTAGTTTCGTATTGATTGTTGGTTTAATTGCGTCGTCAGTAGTGTCGGTCGCTTCGGGCGATGGGAAGACAGCGCTCCCGGAGCAGGTTCCTAGAGAAAGTGAAGATGAGTATCAGCGGTGAGGGTAGCTTGAGTGTACCTATTTTGAAAAGGTACGCTACTCTTCCCACCGATGTTGGGAATACCACCTCAGCCACGGTGAAGCGAACTTAGAAGAGGAAGAAAAATCAGGGCCAGTCCGATGGTGCGAGTGGACGGGACGATGCCACCGCGACGAACTCAGCATCATCGGTGATTTCGGCCACCGTGACGAACGTTAGCGTCATCGGTGATTTCGGCGACGCCATCGACAACGAAACTTCTGCCAGCACGAGTGCGGCAAAAATGAAGCTTCCTCCACTGGTGGTGAAGAAAGAGCCACTCAACACGCTAATTGGCGGTTTCATATTGCTGGGCGTCACAGCTGAGTTTAAGCTCGGCAGGATTGACACCAAGGTGATGCTCCGTACGAAAGTGGAGTACGTGGTGGCCGTGCAATACTTGAAGGATTCCAAGGCGGAATTCTTCACGCATGACATCCCCGGTGAGAAGCCCTTCAAGGTAGTCATCAGGGGTTTACCAAACTTCGACCCCAAGATGGTCGAAGCCGAAATCAAGGACCGGTACAAGCTGGTTCCAAGCGCTGCATTCTGGATGACAAGGAGAGACGAAAATGTGAAGACGTACCCGGATTGTCTTTTTCTGCTGCACTTTCAGAAAGGGACGGTGACGCTCAATGCGCTGCAAGCCATCCGCTCGATCTACTCCATCATCGTACGGTGGGAACCATGCCGTGGCAGCCATCGTGACGTAACGCAGTGCCAGTGGTACCTCAATTTTGGACACGGTACCCGCAACTGCAACATCAAGCCACGCTACAGCAACTGCGCTCACGAACATGCCACTTCTGACTGCCCTCCGGATGGAGCCGTGGCGTTAAAATGCGCCAACTGTGGTGATGCACATCAAGGTTCCGACAGACAGTGCTCCAACCGCGAGAACTTCAAACGCATCCGGAAACAGGTGGCAAGTAACAATCAACCAAGAAGGACAAAACCCCAGCATTCAGGACAGAGGATTTCCCACCTCTTCGTGCTCCCCAGCAAATGCAAGCAAATTCGCGGGTGCAACCCGCCCCCTCAATATGCTTCCGGTGATTCTGCTGGACAAAGATCATCCCTGGATTCTGGAGACAATCACCAGCGCTAAACAACAACTCCGATCTGTTCTCAGCAGATGAACTGATGGAAAATGTTCTTCGTAAGTGCCGCAATAAGCCCGGGCAGTCCTTAGTAAGTTCATCATCCAGTATGGCGTCTAAACTGCTACTGTGTTACCTGACTTATAACAAATATACGTTGTATACGAGTACCCCGAATACAACGTATAACTCGTCTAATTTTGCATAGCATTTGCAATGTAAAATTAGACGAACTATACGTTGTATTCGGGGTACTCGTATACAACGTATATACGTTATAAGTTAGGTAACACAGTAACTATCATCACCTGGAATGCTTGCTCTATAAGAGCAAAAAAGATTGAGCTTGCCGACTTCCTCCGCACATATAGCATCGACGTGGGCCGATCTAACCATATAAAGTCCGGCGACAGTTTCTGGTTACCTAACCATGATGACGATCAGCTCATAATCACCCCTCAGGATAAAGCAAATGCGATTGGTGAGCATATTGCCAAATCGCACTTGCTTGGCTCCAACATTCAAAGTCCGGAGGACAAAATCACAGTGGAACAGATTTGCTCAGCACTGAAATGCACCAAAAAAATGAAGTCTTCGACGGAATATTCAACTGGCTGGCTGCTGTCTTCAACAGATGCTTGCAACTGCACTACGTATATGGAAGACAGCGAAAATCATACCTATCCGCAAACCCGGGAAGGATCTAACGCTATCTCCTTTCAGCGCTGAGCAAATTGTTCGGGAAACTTATTCTCAATCGTTTGCTCAAGTTTGTCGAGGAGCACAACATTCTCCTACCGGA